CAAAAAAGTCTCAAACATTGCACTGGTGCCAAGAGAAGTCGTGCCTGACCCAGTGCAGTCAAAAATAATAAAAAACAAGACTGAACACCTTTAGATGTAACTCCAAGCCATTTATCAATTGTGAAAGGAGAAACATCCCAGTTAATAGTTTTAAGACCTCCAATTCACGTGGCACTTTTTTCCCCACAAAGTGTCAAGCAGTGCCATACATGGGCATGCTCACTGCTGACTTCAAATATAGGAGGAAAGAGGCTTAGCTATGTCTGAGAATGAATGGATTCCAAGATCGTTTTAATGTTTGAGCAAAATTACAGTCTGATTAAAAAGTACTATTTATCATAGTGTAGAGTCATCTGCTTTCCAAAAACTTCCAATGTGCATCTTATTTTGTCCCCACAACAATCCTCCAAAGACAGATCTAACCACATTTCACAGCTAAGGTCACTAAAGTTTGGAGAATTTAAAACAAGAGAACCGGTGTGAAGACTCTACTGGCTCATCCTCCACCTATCAGTAACAGCATTCCATATGGGCACCAGTTCACATCCCAGCTGCTGCACTTTCTATCCAGCTCCCTGCTTATGCCCTGGGAAAGCAGTGGAGACCAGTCTAAGGCATTGGGACCCTGCACCTATGTGGGAGACCTAGCAGAAGCTCCTGGCTCCTAGCTTTGGATTGGCTCAGCTCTGGCTGTTGTGGCCATACAGGGAGTGAACCACAGGATGGAAGCTCTTAGTGTCTTTTCTTCTGTCTGTAAATCTGCCTTCCCAATAAAAATGAATCTTTAAAAGGAAAAAGGAAAAAAAACTTGAGTAAAATGCTTTTTCTAGGAAACAGGATATTAGAAAACCTTTTTTTTTTTTTTTACCAGTTACCTTGGTTTATAAACAAGCAGTAAAAACTACCACCACTGGGAGAACCTATCTGAGGAAACTCAGCTTCAAGGAGTGAACAATCAGGGGACAGACATTCATCCTCTAAACCTAAGCAGCTTTTCACACTGCCGAATCCCACTCTGGTGGACTCCTGACCTCGCATCGTAGCCTTATTCACAGTGGATTTCCCACTGGTGAAAAGCAACACTGCATTTGATCACTGCACAACTTGTGACCTGACACTTGACTGATTAAACTATGTTTAGTTGCAGCTGTAGGCATTTTGGATTCAAAGAGAAGCACACCACTCGATGCACTGAAGTGTTTAAATTCCCCAACTGCTAAAGCTAAGGGTTTATCTAGCTATACCTGGGGCAAACGAAGTCTCACATTTGAAAACACTTGAGAGGGGAAAAAAAAAAGCCTCTACTTAAAAAGAAAAAAAGAGAGAGATTCTATGGTTCAACTGTAAAGAAAACTGAACAGTCACTAAGTGTATTTTGCTTTGTGGCTTTCAATGGGCAGTTTCACGCCAAAATAATGTGGGGCAAAGGAGGAAGGCAAAGCCTACTTAGCCTATAACGTCCTCCCAGGGAAGCCACTTCATGTAGCAAAAGGCTCACAGATCTGAGGTTCCAATAGAACCACCACTTTACAACATTTCAGCCTCTGCAGCTACATTCAAGAATGAAAACGAGACCAGCTAGATAAGGTGATTAGGTATAATGCTCAGGCTGCTGTAGCGAAGTGCCCACGAGTGAACAACCTGCTGCCTCACAGTGTTCTGCAGACTGGAAGTCAGAGATCGAGATGGTGGCAATTTTAAGTCCTTCTGTGGGCTGTTGAGAGCAGGATCTGTTCCAGATGTTTCTTCTTTGCAGGCAAATGACTATCTTCATGCTCCCATGATGATGCTGTCTCTATAACCTGGTCCAGATTTCCCCTCACTAGTGGTTGTAATGGCCAATAACCCACCTAATGACTTATCTTTAACTGGATGACCCTCTGTACAGACTTATCCCCAAATATAATCACCATCTGAGCTCCTGGGTACTAGATGTCAACAAAGGAACCACAGGAAGGACTGGAGAGGGAGAAATGAGTCAATCCTTAACAGACACGTTCTAAGTCCCTGCCAAAATGGACACTCAAAGACCGTCTCTCTCCTTTCTAGGCCTGGCAGTGCCACTGCCTGCCACGTCAGTTTGGGCAAGCTATCTAACCTCTGTAAGACATGGGCGCCATCCCAATGAAGTGAGGCTGGTATCATGGGCTGCAAAGCCCTCCTAACATGAATATCCTCTGCTTCTATACCTCATCAATGCTTTTTCTAACATATATGCTATAACATGTCAATCTTTTTTTTCACACTACATCATCTCTACTGAAAAACTTGAAAGCATTTAAACACCACCATGATATGACCACACTATATTCACATTATGAAGGAAACAGGCTTCATTAGCTGATTCTTAGGCTAAAGGAAACAGTCTCAGAGGTTTCTAGGAATGCTTCCGAAACCCAAAATAGCTAAACTACTTCTGGAAAGCCGATTAAAATGCGCTTGACCTATCCTGAAAGTTCAATAAGGATCCATGTAACAAAATATTCCATTCAAAATCCATTATGATCCAAATCACAAAATTTTAAGATGAAAAACTTGGGGGTGCTTTGTGATAAACATTTTTCGAAGAGGATGTTAGGGTCCAGTGGGATGAAGTGTTTTGCATGTACTATAGCCATTGTCCAATCGGTCAAAATTGATTTCAAACATGGTAATGATTAATTTTGCTATACATGGAGGAGATTACACCACATGTCATGCCTTCTCTACAACAAACAGCACTAGATGTGATCTCTAGAACTGTAACACTGCCAATGTCATAGTGGGATTATGAATCCAGGTAACAGAAGATATATTATTGAATCTTTCTTCATCACATTTTTCATATATGCAGAGGCAATAATAATTCTAGTCTCCTCTTGGGACTAGTGAAAGGGTAAAAATTATAGTAAAGTATGTCAAAGAACTTTAAAAGCACAAAACCTTTTACAAATATAAGATACCTTCATTATTAGCTATGCCTATACCTGCCTTTTGCTACCAAATGAGGTCAGGCCAGCTCCCCATGGGCTTGCTCCCCACTTTAAATGGAAATTAAAATATATTCTGCCTGTAGGTTCACACTTCAATCACCTGCACTGGCTTTTTTTGAACATCATTAAGCAATGAAACCTGAAACAGATCATTCTTTTGAAACTTCCCACTCATCACCTGACCGAATATCCAGAGGCACCCTTCAGGTAAAGGAAGTTAGAAACACGAACACGATCTTCCAAAACCCAAGATAATTTTAACAGAAGTTGGGGATACTTTGTGTGTGTGCCCGCTCCTCTGTCTGGAAAAGTGAGGAGTGAAAATTGCCCACATAAATGCGCTGAGAAAGAAGACTTGACTTCAGTGGAATCCCTTGGGGCTACTAATGTGCTCATACAACTTTTAAAAAGCCTAGAACATACCATAGCTGGAAAACCTTTAGAACTGGCCTTGAGGAGAGTGCAACTTGTGCTGAGGCAGTGGCTTGCACAGTAGTAAAAGCAGAGGACTAGGAGTCAAATGAGCCCAGCTTAGGACCAGCTTTGCCCCTTGCTCACTCACTTATTTTGAGCCCCCTGGGCCCACATGCTATAGTCCTGCCCCAAACACATCACAAGGATTGAATTGCATACTCTCACCTCTGCATTAGTACATCTGAATCTACTGATTTAGATTGAGTGAACCTACAAATTATGAATTTTTCTTTTAATTCCAGATGATTTGGGGCCAGAGTGATAGCCTAGCAGCTAAATAACTCACCTTGAACACCCAGGATCCAGCATTCTGCTTATAACCTGGGAAAGCAGTTGAGAACGGCCCAAAACCTTGGGTCCCTGCACCCACATGGGACACCTGGAGGAAGCTCCCAGCTTTGGATCAGTTCGGCTCTGGCCGTTGCAGCCACTTGGGGAGTGAGCCAGCAGACAGAAGATCTTTCTCTGTCTCTCCTTCTCTCTGTAAACATTCCTTTCAAATAAAAATAAATAAATCTCTCTTAAAAAAAGGATTCTAGACCCAGGTTGGTGGCCTAGTGGCTAAAGTTCTCACCTTCAACCCGCCTGGATCTCATATGGGCACCGGTTCTAATCCCGGCAGCCCCGTTTCCCATCCAGCTCCCTGCTTGTGGCCTAGGGAAGCAGTCGAGGACGGCCCAAAGCCTTGGGACCCTGCACCCACGTGAGAGACCTGGGAGAAGCTTTGGGCCCAGCGGCGTGGCCTAGCGGCTAAAGTCCTCACCGTGAACGCCCTGGGATCCCATATGGGCGCCAGTTATAATCCTAGCAGCTCCACTTCCCATCCAGCTCCCTGCTTGTAGCCTGGGAAAGCAGTCGAGGACGGCCCAAAACTTTGGGACCCTGCACCCATGTGGGATACCTGGAAGAAGTTCCTGGATCCTAGCTTCGGATCGGCATAGCATCGGCTGTTGCACTCACTTGGGGAATGAATCATTGGACGGAAGATCTTCCTCTCTGTCTCTCTTCCTCTCTGTATATCTGAATTTCCAATAAATAAATAAATCTTTTAAAAAAAGAAAAAAAAAAGGATTCCAGAGGATTTCTTATGCAGGTAAGAAATATCGTTAAGGTAGTTGGCTATGCGTTATCAGCCTCAGCTGGTGAGAGACAAGAGGAAGGCAGGGAAGGAGACCTGGTCTCCACAGCCCAGCAGCCTTTCAGCTTATTACCTCACCATTTCCCACAATAGCTTCTCATTGTTACATGTTACATTAGTGACACAGCTTTCTCTTCACCGTAGCTAACCTCTGAGCACTTTAAATAACATTAGCTCCTGGCTTCTCAGGACGGGCCAGATGTCAGAGTTCAAGCTGCCGCACCTATCAAACTTTCAGCAGAGGTATTCTCCTTTGGCCTTTAAAGGAATCTGTCCTGGAGTAAAGGTGATCCTGTAGAAAGGTCTCTCTCACAGCCCTCCCACCCACCTGAGGACAGGCTTCTACGCTTGTGTAAAAATGACCCCAAAAAACCTGACCAGCGACTTGTATGCAAACACACCCAGAAGGCACTAACCTGTAAGTCTTCTCTCATCCACTCGTCTACATCAGCTCCCATCATCCACCAAAATCCCACCTGTCTTTAAAGGTCTGGATCCAATCAGGCATTCATGACTCCAAGCTGCCCATCTTTTCTCCACCTGAACTTAAGATCAGAGATTACATCATTTACACCTCTGTTCCCTCAGGACAACTAACACAGTGCTATGTACATGAAAGTTGCTTACTAAATACTGGCTTAATCTGAAAATGTCAGGACAGGTATTAAAACAAGAAAGCCCTCACTGCAAAGAGCTCTGTAGAGAGACACAAGGAGAAAAGTGAAGAAAAAAGTCACCGTTGTTCTTCCAGTTATAGTCAGTTATTAGTTATCTCAATTATGTACTAGGTTATCTACAATGAGGACTAGTTCACAGCAGAAATTAAAGTTTCATTCCTAAGTCATGTTAACTAAATCAATGTTAGATATAAAAATAACATGAGGACAATGTAAAGAGCTCAGAATTTTCATTTCACTCTCTGCATAAAACTTGATGAAACAAATGGAAATCAGGTGATAAATTTATGAATTAAAATCTCTAAAGTTGATACTGTAAGTTTGCATAGTATTTCATCCACATGTCTAATTCTCATGCTGACATTGATAGTTAAGGGCTAGGCATATCAGAATCCCAGGAAACAGCTCATCTTGAACTAAACTGTCCAGCGAGCATCAACCCGGTCACTGATTCAGGAAATCTGCATCGAGCACCTATCATGTAACACACCATGAGGAAGGACTGCAGCAGTGGGAGACCACTATCTAATACAAGCACCCTAATCTTGTAGAAGGTTGTGACCCAGGACAATTCAATGTATACAACCATTAAATTGGAAAATAAAAATGGCCAAAAGCAATTTTAGTTGTATATGTATTTTCTAATTCCTTACTGCGAGCCTACAGTGCCAAGTCTGAGTCCAAATTTGACCACAAAGGTAACACTAATCATCAGTACATCGTCACAAAACTATCCATATATCCGCTCTGTCTCTGACTTCATCCCAAGATTCCGTCTGAGCTGTCAGGTTAAGATTCACCTGGGGCAGACAAAACACTATTTGCAAAGATGGCCTAACTTCCAGCCCTAGGACAGACTCAACTGTGTCTCATTTTGTAAATGAAGTTCAATTGGAACATTCACATCCAATCTTCAACTTGTTTTTTACCACGACTTTCACAGGCCAAAGGCAGAATGCAGTCTGGAAGAACAGACTACGCGAGCATCGAGGCATGCAATACTAACTGCCTTGTCCTTCATAGGAAACATCTGCTGATCTTTGTACTAGAAGTACTGCGTAGAGATCTCCCTGAAAGTTTAGACTAGTGGGCGTGCTCAAGTTTTATATCTGATTTGTATAAAGAAGGAGAATGTCTCTGAGATATTTTAACTAATCCAGACTTGCTAAGTAAAAATCAGAGAGAAACCCTTTCAGGTATCCATCTTCTAATTAACAAGCCATTACTTTCACCTGTTAAGTTTCATGTCCAATATGTATTATGCTAATTATGCCTTTGGGATTGGTGAAAGAGAAAGTAAGGAAGGAATGAAGGGAGAGAGAGGAGAGGGGAATCCCCTATGGTAGCTTCTGGAGTATTGTTTCTAATTGTTAACTAAATATTCTCAGAAAATGAACTTCTAATTAAGGCAGCTAGTTTTCCCTAAAATGTGGCATAAATCAGTTCACACGCATTCTCAATGTTACCAGATCTAAGCTTAAGTATTTAAACTGATTCACAGATATCACAACATGCTGACCTCAGCATTTACTGCAAGGCATGATGTCATACTCTCAATTCACCAGGACGTGGCTCTAGCCACATCTGTAATTCCTTTATGTGCATTTTACTGAATCAGAGCTTTGAGTACCCTCCGCCAGACTGTACCAGTTCTCTACAATTCAATCCCGTTCATTGCAAATGTAACGTAACCGATGCCCAGCATCCCCAATTATAGAGCAGGGTTGACCATGGAAAATGAACTTGACTCTTCTACTAGAGCGATTTTTTGTTTTTAATTTACGCTTCAGTCTCCTGAGGATGATACAGAAATTTGCCTCTTGTGTTAAGACCCGAACCATATGTGAAAACGTGTCCCCTTAGTACACTGGGACCTGGAATATTTAGAGCAATGTCAATACTGTGTTTTTGCAACCAGGACTATCACCTTTACCCATAGGACAAAGAATAATTCAACACAAATAATTATTTCTAAACATTACTGTTGAGATATTTAATTACAATAACTACAACATTAATATTTAAGTGTCATTTTTTTAATGACTTAAGCAACGCATTGGTCGTTCTGTAGTATGTTGCTTAACTTCACGTTAATATGAATTGTCTGTTTTTTTCCCCACTGTGGATTGTGTTTTCTGGCTCTGTATTTAAGATAGATAGAAATGCAGTGGAGATTGACATGACCAGATGTGGAGACAGAGCGCAGTATGTCTCTCTGCATCCAGACCAAAGATGGACTCCCAGTAAAACTGTTGACTATATCCTGATAGTAGGATGCTGGACTCTGCCATTGTCCATGCCTACACTCTCAGGAAGCACTTCAATAGCAGAATGATGGACTTAACGATTGTTCATGAAGGACCACCCATTGTAATACTAGAGGGGAAATCAGTTGCGGGAAGGAAGATGGGAAACCCCAGAGCCTATGGAACTGTAGCATAAAATAATAATAATAATTAAAAGCAGTAAAAAGGAAACTTAATTACAATAACTAGAATATTAACATTTAAGTGCCATTTTCTTAATTAGGGGTTTGGTTAATTTCACTTTTGTCCCATTTGCCATACACTTAATAAATTAGGTATTTTATTATTACTATTGTTATTGAAGAAATGATACCTCCAGTCATCTCTAAGCAAAGGCTGATGGAACAAAACTAGAACAATGGAGAAGCTTCTTTGGCATTTCAGCAAGCCACTGCGACCCCCATTTGCTGCTCAGAGGAGGCTGTGGGTAGCTCCCTATGATCTGAAAATGTATATATTGAAGAATTTATCTGAGGCCCAAGAACTCAAGGTCTCACATTAATGCCCAGCACATGTATTAGCTCTATTCATTAGGATTCGTTTCCTGCAAGACAGCACATCTGATTAGAAATACTAGGAAATTATTTTGTAGTTAGCATTTTCCATGTTTTCTATCAGTCAATCAGGAAGAGATGCCACAGCTAGGCAAAGCATTTGCTTACAGTTCATTGATAGCTGCTCATAAGTAGAAGAGTAATGAGAACCAAGAATAATTTTTCCACCACTTAACTAGCACTAAATGCTTTATTGAATTCTATCTTCGCCTTTTGCTGATACTGAAAATGAAATTCACAGATTAACAGAGAGGCAGTTCTAAGCATTATTTTTGCAGCCATGTCTCAGCAGACTCCTAGTGTAAATTGGTTTTTAAAAATGTGCTGGTAAGAACCAGAAGGAGTGTGGGCCAGTGGAGCAAGGTTACTGTTCTTGCCAGGACAGGAAGTAGACAAAGTCAACCTTAGCCAAGGACCCACTGGTGTGCGCAAGAACTGCCACTGGGAGGAGATTCAATAGAGGAGTTTGGGAAACACCTTCATTGGGACGCAGTCCCTGCAGGTGAATACAAACAGCAAGGCAAGGAGCAGCCCAGACCTCGCCAGAATACTGTACCTGCAAGCATACATGTGGGTCAGGTCTGGGGACAGACCAGTCTGGGCCAATTCATAACATCCACTGGCAGATCTGAGAACTAGGACAGAGGGCAGGAGGAACCAAATTGGGCTACATCAGCCAGTTCACATTAGGACTGGGACAACAATCAGGCTCAGTGGGCTAGGCTGTAGCACCCACCAGCATAAGCTGCAACAAGGGGCAGACTAGACCAATCCAGGCTGTACAATAAGATTGTGGATACTGAGATGAGACGATTCATGCTCGCATGGGCCTGGGAGGACCAGGTACTTGAGTCTCAGGGTGAGGGGATCTGACAGGGCTTAGGTAACTTGGCTCAGGTCCTAGGGCCCACCTGCGTAGTGGGGGCTGGGTTTGTGAGCACAGGGATGGGAAATCTGGTGCAGCTTGGGTCGCCTGGCCCAGGTCCTAGAGGGATCTGGAGGGGCTTGGATTGTTTTGCCCAGGTCCTTGGGTTGCCGTGTAAGAACATGTCCTACTTAGTGAAAAAAGCAGAGCAGTGGACACAGGCCCTGTTGTAAAAGGTGAATATGGCAGCTCATTTTGTGTCACAATAGAAGAACAGAACAAGCTGGACAACTACCCCAGTCAAACGATGACAGAAAAAAACCTCAGTGACTGGAGACCTGAGGCTTACTATGTCAGCCAACGGACATTGGGAGGGTGATATCATCCTTCGATCGGTGAAATCAACAGCATTCTAGAACTATCCAAACCACTTGGGTGGAATCCTCGGAATATGTACACATTGAGACTCTGGGCTGATAAGAGGCGGTGGTTCCTCATCCATAGGTACTGGGACACTTGGAAAGTCATGAGTGACTTCCCTCTTTGTCTCTCCCCTTCCCCAGAAACAGCAAGAAGAAATAGCAAAATTGGCAACAGTAAGTTCACCCAGTTTTTCCTAGACATCTACCCTCCCCACCCTTATCAACCATGTAATCATTATAAAAAATAAAATTAATTTTAAAAGTGTGCTGGTATGGGAGACCCCAAAGAGATAAGAAGTTTCCTGCGAGTTGCTTCACTGCTTCATACTTCCACCAAATGATCTTAGGCATTAGGAACCTGACTGAAGTTCTTCTGGCACTTTGGGAAATTAGCCACTAATTGGACTTGGCACTTCAGTCACTTCCTAATTGAGGCTCCTGAGAGAGGAGTTCAGTAAGAAGCAGGTCATTTCCTGTGGGGATCATCCAGCAGAAAACATGGCATTCTGATTTCCTGCCCCTTCTCCATGGCCCTCCCCCAATCCAGTTCACATCATCCCAGCCATTAGTCCTCAGCCTGTTGCTATTCTGTTATACTACAATAGCATTTTGGAGCACTGTACAATTTAAAACTCAACTTCACAGCTACTGTCTCATAATCTCCATACCATTTTACATATGAGTATGTGGAAACTCATGATGGTGAAGAGACCGTATGGATTCACAAAGCACACAGTTGTGCAGGTATACACTCAACCAGTGCCAGAACCTCAGGCTAGCCCAGGACACAGCCTGGCCTACCAAACTATTTCCCAACAAGAAGGTCTCACCTAGAGAATGATTAGCTAACTCCAGACTTTGATCAGCTTCAGAAACACAGTCCAGACACATGGCCATGCCACCGCTACTCAAGCATACCAGTCTATGGAGCTCTTCTTAGGCAAAATACAGTCTTTGTTCAGCTCAGAGTTTTGATGGTCACTCACAGTGAAGGGTGAAAGTCAGGGGGCATGGCCGGGTTGAGCTAAATGGAGAAACGGAGCTAGGAATGGTAATTAGTACCCAAAGGATAAGAAAATGAACCACCAAGAAGAGCTCAGAGAAAGCCCCACATCTCTACTAAGGAGGGTCCATGAATACTGTGGGAAGAGCTTGGTGACCTAAAGCACAGGAATACTTAGTACTGACTTTGAAATTGTTTGCTTTTTCTGTGATGCATTGTTGTACTGGGAGTCAGCCTAGCATGACCAGCACAAGAAGCACCAAGAGTTGGAAATGTAGAACCCTTGCTTCCCTCTAGTCCTGCCTGGTTATCTGCCACAGGGCACCAGAGCTTAGATAAAAGTCTGAGATACATACCTACCTGCCCATGGAGGTGAAATTCTAAGGCACTGAAAAATTCACAGCAATATCAAGCACCAAGTGATACATTTTGTGATAGGGTTACATGGATCTTTGGCATATCCATATTCACTTTGGTGAAACAAATCAAGAAGTAAAATAATTAAGCAAAAGTTGGGAAGTGGAAGGAAGGGGACGAAAGAGGAGAAGAAGAGAGAAGAAGAGAGGAGAGGAGACCCTGGAATCACTGGAAAAACACATACCGTTTCCCGCAGGACTTCCCAGAGATGTGAAGATGGGTGCCACATGTGCCACTAGTCATAACTGGAAGACTGTAGACAAATTTAATCAACAGGGTGATCCTGGGGACCTGGAGAACCTCAGGATACCCAAGTGACCAGCAAATGGTTGTAGTTACACATGTGCTTGTGCATCTCTTATTTGCTCACAACTGAATGGATACCTCTTTCCTATTAGTAAGTTCCCTGGATGCCTTATTACATGTTCATATTCAACAAGGTTACTTGTGTCTCTCAGTCTACACATCTTTGCAGCTATAAAGGGAGATGAAGGAAAGGACTAACAGTAACAAGATGACCTTGGCAGTGGCTGTGTGCTTCTCCAACCTCTTTCGGTCTCTACCTACCTGAGATCAGAGACACTGTGGGAAACCCTACAGGGCAAATTGGCACTGAGATCCCAAACATATACTTATTTGTGAAAATGCCAAGGCAAGAACTTAGCATGGTAACTGTGTTAGCATCTAGACAAAACAGCTTGTGGCCAGTGGAAGCAGCTCTGGATTGGAGGGTCTTTATCAGGCCTTACTGACACTGTGGCCACATAGCAGCCGTTCATTCATCTCTGCTATTAACCTTATGACTTTAAGAAGTCTCTCTGCTTCCCCTCAGTTCTGTTTCCTCAACAGTCAAAGAACCATAAAAGCCTCAGAGGATGGCAGTAAAGAACAAACACCAAGTTTTGTAAACACGAAAAACTTTGTAAGAAAAAGAATGCTGTGCCGTGATCAGAGACTATTTCCACTGTTCTGTTATTGTATGGTTGTAATTTTCTTACAATAATCAATGTGATTGAGAAAAACAAGTAGCAGAGTGCTGGGTGGCCAAGTAGGATTCAGTCCCAGCCCAATATCATTGCCTGACTCTGTTACAGAGAATAGAAAATGCTAAATATTTACATTCCTAAACACTCTGCATGACAAAGTTCTGGCCAACAGGCGAGGAGTGTTTTTGTGGTATTTCTGATTATGGAAAAAAAATCAACATAGATGGTATTCTCTTTTTCCTGCATAGGTGACCATGAAACTTGAAACACATAAGTCACCTAAAAGTTACAAGGTAAAGACTAGAATGGTTAAAAACTCTCTGAACTCAACTGCCAAACCCACACTTTAGTTTTCTATCTCCAGACGTCTTGCCATATTAAAACACACACACACACAACTTTCTTTGTAATCAAAAGTTAAGACCTCTGTTAAGTTACCTGTGACAAAAAGCATTCTGGCTGCTATAACACATATCCTATCTACTTCTGTCCTTGGTCTTCTAGATGGAAATTTTTCTGGTGATTTGTTCAAGATCAAATTGAGCTCAGAAAAGCAGGAAGATTCTTGCTCCAAAGACCTATAAGCAATAAAGAAATAATCAAGAAAACTGGATAAATTTTCCCCTCAAAATAAGTTAGCACATCACTACGATACGAGACTGTTCTACCAGCCCCATCTTTGTACACTACCCTTGCCATGAAACATAGGTTTTAATGAAACTTTCACTCCCTAACCCATGAGGCTGTAATGATCAAAGACATAATGACTGTTAAATCCCAGTGCAGGCTATTAAATGCCTTGTGAAGGTTGGGGTTACCCAGGAGCCCAACCTTGGTGCATCTATTTATATCTCTATGTTGCTGACTCTAGTTTCTGTTTTTAGCCTGTGTTTCCAAAGGACTCTTGGTCTTTATTTCCAGCTCTCTCCTGAAGATCTTCACTCAGATGTTCTAAAAGCACTTCAAGCTCAGCAAGTCCAAAACATCATTAATTGCCATTCTCCACAAAGCATTCCTCTGCCGGCGCTCCTGGTTTCCAGTAATAGACTAACAGACATCACCAGCCACCTGTTTTCCACAGGTAGAAAACTGAGTCATCTTCAACTCGTAACTTTCAACTCAGAAATAGCTCTTTGTTGCCCTTGATCACAGCCCATCATTTTGTGCATCTGAACAATAGGCTATAAAGTTTTCTGACAGCTCTCTCTGCCAGCCATATTTTCATAGCCTACACAGGGCTCCTCCTCCAAGACGAACTGGATGACCTCAGGATCTCAAGTAGAAGTTGCAGGCTTCTGGTATCTCAGAATTAAACCAGATGCTCCTCCCCCTGTCCCTTCTCCCTTGTAGCCTTAACCTTCTTTACTCCCAGGACTCTTATTTCCAATGAGCACTTGATGATTTTTCCTTATTCCCATTCCACGCCTTTTTTTTTTCCTTTTAGTTCCCTGTCATCATCCAATTCCATTCTTTAATGTTTCATATCTGGGCTATTACAAGAACCTCCTAACAGGGACAATGAATGTTTCTTTGCTTTAGTCCACATTATACCATTCAACAAAATTAAATTATTTGCAAGACCCATTTGACAGAGGCCCCCGTTAGCTATGAATACAGTTCCCACTTCTCACCCTAGCTTCATGGCCCTCCAAGTCACACAATTCCTTTGTGTTCCAACCTTATCTTGGATTATTCCCTCTACGCATCCTTCACTCCAGATATCCAGTTACTCTACACTCCTAGAACACAGGTAAGCCATTTCCATCCCATGTCTCCCTCATGCGGCTTCTTGAACTGGCATGTTGTCTCTACCTGTCTGTCCAGCTTTTTCTTAGCCCTCCTGCCATCTATTTCCAAAGAAACTTCCAATTATTAGATATCAAGCTGAAAATAATCTCCTTATCAAGATCTCATGGTTTTTCAATTGAGGAGCCATCATCACTTGCCTCACTTTGTAACCATTTAGCCTCAAAAGCCTTTTTCTTTTTCCTTTGCATAGAACACAGTACTTTCCCATATTAGGACTACACATTTTTTTTTTTTTTTACAAACTGTTAAATAAACACTCATTGGGTGAAATACACTTTTCAATTAAAGATGTTTTCACATCTGTTACCATAACAAAATAGGCACTGGAGCAAAGCACAAGGGATATAACTGTCCCTGGGGTCACCAAGGGAAAGGGCCTTTCCTTAAATCCTTCTGAAGAGCTGTGCCAGATGAACAAAATTCACTTCCCCCAGTCTTAGCACTGACGTGGGGAAGTGGGGCTTTCTCCATTGTTTCTGCTATCATGGTTTTAGTTCTATCTTGTACCATTTCTGGTCCCAAAACACCTTGAACCACCACCCCCCTTGCTTCCTGTTTGTCTTCCAAACCACACCTCTGGTAGCTTCATATCACAGTCTCCTGCGAGATTCTCCCCCACTCTCTGTAACATCTGTCTCAGGAACTCAGGGGAGCCAGGAGCTCCTATGCAGGAGACGTGCTACCCCCCTGTGATGGAAGGTGAGTCACTGCTCCCCAGGAAACAGCACCCCTCTGTTGTGCAGCAGACAACAGGTTCTGCAGCTGCTCCCCATGAGCTGCAGCAAACCATGATCCCAGCCCACCATTTTCTCACTTGAATATACTCTCTCTTAAGTATACTGTTTCCCTCATTTTCATTAATAATCCTTCTTTTAACACCTGATCAGCCTCGCTGTCTGCTCTGGGTTAAAGCCTATTATTCCATTAGAGTTTGACATTTAGAATGCAATGAGGCATTAATGCACAGGTAGTGTTAATGGGGAAAATGGCTTGAGTCAGGGTTTTATTTTTTTAAACCCATGCAGTTTGGAAAATAGAAGGGGTCAATACAAAGCAGAAGGCTGCTTCTGCACCAGCTACACGGGGCTGGGGCCAGGGACCGGAGCACACTATGACCTTGGCCAATCTGTGCAGCACACAGCTGTGACCCTTTCCCACTCCCTGTGGGATTTCTCAGGTGGGCATATCTCCCAGATCGTGCGTCTAGAAAGAAGCTGGAGCAGCCTAAAGGAAATGAGGTAACAGACAAGTCAGTGAGCCTAAAGAAATGTCATTGTGTTTGCCTTTCCTGCCTCTGACTCTGCAGGGTTCAGGAAAGCTGTTTTTTCCCCCTTCAAATATATTTTATTAAATAAAATAGGTTATCTTTTGAACACTGCTGGTTTGTTTTTTTCTAAATAAAAGCTGCTGTAGCAGTCGACAGTATTTCAGTTATTTACTTGACATTTCCCATTGTGAACATTCTGTGCCAAGCGTCCTCAGGCTGGGAGTCCCTGTGATTCATCCTGAGGTAGCCAGTGCCTAAGTTAGCACAAGGCAGTAGGCTGCGTTTCCATTCCTCAATTCAAATTATTTTCGTTTCAAAGCCAACCTCCTTTAGATGTCTGGTGAAGATTCATGTCATCTTCTGACTGGGTCACTGGCTGTTTCAGGGCAGCTAGCCTTTATAGGAGTCTTGGAGGACATCTGATGGCCTTTAGTATTGTCCATAACCTGGAGCTTCGTCCAATGACTTGAAGCTAACCTTCAGCAGACATGGAGAATGGCATCACCTCAATGCACCCAGTCTATGCTCTTTTTCCTTCCTGAACCTGTTAATCAAAAAAAAAAAAAAAAAAGCAATTTGTATTTTGCATATTTCTTCCCTCATCATGCATTCAACAAACACTGGCTGAGGACATGCAAACAAGCACTGGATAAATTCATTCCCTTGTGGAACTTCTAGAACTTCCTTCCAGTACTCCCATTCTGACTACACCTCTGCCATCCTTTTCTCTGAAAGATGTGCCAGAATCACAAAGTCTGCAAGGTCCCAAGGGGCAGTGGCAGAAACAAATGTAGCTCTCAACACCATCTGTATTCAGCAAGACCCTCAGCAAGTTATGGTGGTACCCTGCTTCCATGCCGTGTCTCCTGGGGCTGGGAGTCCTGCTGTCTAGAATTGCACCTCCAGGCTGTCAGCATGGTCATCCCTCCTGAGCTTCTGGACCTCCTGGCACTGCTGGGAAGCCAGATGTGTATTCATGAGAAAGGGGAGACACATCATTTTCTGGAAACTCCCCTGCTCACTCTTGTCCTTTTCAAACAAGTCAGATATAGTCTTAGTTTCTCAGTTCAGCTCTTTTACCAGAAGAAGGAAATATTGACTCCCCAGCGCTCCTGTTTTCCACATGGTCAACAATTTCAGATTCCCTGATTCCAAGGCTCAGGGAAGGGAAGAAGGAAGCATCTGGAAATGCCACGGAGCTGAAGCTACTGAAACATGGAAGGGGTGATGCCCATCTCCTTAAGCACCAAGTCTAGCCTCGGCCTGTAGAACACCTCAGATCTGAGGCCAGCATGGGGAGTGGCCTGCTGCCCCAGGCACTACTATCCTATCAGAGATCCAGAGACCTGCAGGGACGTGCACTAATGTAGGGCTGGGTGTGGGGAGGACCCTTAATTCCACAGTTCCATGAGGAGGAAAATACAACCTCCAACAACAGTCTTCCAACCCTATCCCCTGCCACCAATACAATTGCATTCCTATTCTATCAGAACAGAGTATACTGCTGGCACCCTGTCCAGCCGTACTTTATAGCTCTGTCCTTGTCTTATCTCCTTGCATCTCTCCAAGGTGGCATCTCTCAGGGGCAAAAGCATCTGTTGTCCTTTTTCATTCTCAGCCTCTTCCAATTCATCTGCTTCTGTTTCTAGAACAAGTCAGTGACATGCTGAGGGGAGAGGTCACAGAATGCTCCTGAGCTCCCCTGCTTTGAGTCACCTGTGGTTTTGACCCCCTGCAGCCATGATTACATGGAGAAAGGCTGACACGACAGCAGGAGATGAAGGGAGCAAATGTGAGCAGGGCCCATGGAGGTTTTTCAGGCCAAGGAGAGCTATGGGAGCCTAAGGATGCTGACACCCTTTCCAAAGAATGTGGTTGTTGGTGGACCAACAGGTCATCAGTTGGTTTATGAAAGAATGTATACTGACTTTACCACATGCTTACTACTGCTTGGTGCCTTGCAGAGCAGGCAAAAATCATATTATAGTGTTCGGAGAGCTTCCATTTTAATGGGGAGAGAGTATACACACACATATGCCTAAATGCAAAAAAAATAGTGAAAATTAATATAAGTTGAAAACTCATAAAATGCTGTGCTAAACACTGCTGTGCAAATGTAATATTTTATTTATTCATTCAGCAACTTTATATTGTAGGTATTGAAATTAGCCCCATCTGTAGATGAGAAAACTGAGGCACAAAGATTTAACTTAACTGAAGTCCTATGCTACAATAGCTCAAATCAACAAGGATGGGTTACAAACATTCATGATGCTTTCATGTCTAATAGTAAAAAGGCAGAAATTATGTCACCACACAATAGTAAAAGAAAGTTGTACTAATTATGAGAACCGCACAAAAGAATATTATACCTATTACACTCTTATCTTGAAGAAAATAATATACACAGGAAAATGCGTATATAATTTCTTAAATTTATTTGATGTAAGAATAAATACAAGGAGAATTCCCTCCAACTGCTTTACTGCTCAAAAACCCAAAATGACCAGGACTAAATCAGGCAAAAAACCAGGAGCTGAGAACTCTACCCATGTCTGCCGGATAAAAAGCAAGGCCACTACTACCTGAGTCATTGTCCCTGCCTCCCAGGGAACCGCGAGTAGAACCTAGACTAACCCAAGCGCTCCAATAGGCATCCCAACAGGCATTTGGGTATTTGACCACTAAGCCAAATACCTCCTCTTCTCATCTCATGTCTTTTTTAAAAATTCTTTTATTTTGACAATCTTCACTGAGAATACCTTGGTCTCCTGGCCAATGCTTGATAAATGGTGGCCATCAGTGCCACCATTGCCATCACTGTTGGTGTTGTTGTTATGCTCTCAGCAATGGTGACATGTTTACATTCTCATATTAAGTGATAAAAAAAAAACCTAGGTGGAGCAGGTGGCTCAGGAATTGGAAGATTCATTGGAAACATCAGTGAATAATCAGGTGCTGGAGCTGGTTATGTTTTTCTGCCATAGACTCTGTCGGAGGCTTTCCATTCCCCCAGCCTGTGGAGATCAGCAATGCAGAGCACTTCTAGACTGTGAGTGAATAAAATTATAACATAAAACTCTGCTAAAATAATGTCAGGCTAGCCATAAAGAAATTCATCTCCCAAGTGACACGCTCAGCAGAGCCACACTGACTTCTGAAACAGATGTCTAGACAACTTGACTTGAGGTACATACCCTAAACCTAAACAGCCTGAAGTCCCCCAGCTGATGCCAAAAGTTCACAAGAGATCAAACAGGAATAGAAGATTTGAAGATTATAAATAAACTTACTCATAGGGAAAGTGAAGCAAGGATAGCAAACTAAAAATTGATGGCCCTGAGAGAATGAGTCATCAGTGAGACCATGAAAGACATCTTGCAGCGATCACACACAGTAAGTTCAATGTCCTTAGACATTAACTGCCTGTCACATGAAACCTCCCATCAGCCGACTGCAAGAGCCTGGAGATGCCCTTGTTAAACTTGCCAGACAACTCCACTCAGCAAAGAGGCAATCCATCTCCCCTCCATCTTTGGAAGGCTCATGTGGCAATTATCACATGTGAAATTGGTGTCCTGGTAACCTCATGTATCAGCCACTGGAAATGATCTGGCCCAGGTCAGGCTGGCCTGTCTGATCACTTCAAGACATTACGTTCTCCTTTAGGTATTTCAGGGCTAACAGCCCTAACAGATGGACAATGACAAGCCAAGTGCAACCTGAGATAGCCTACAGCTCCTGGGACAGCAGGAAAGTCCATTTTTCGCTCTCATTTTGTTTTTGAAGGCTTGAAACCATCCAGGGCAATCCAGCCCAGCCATTTATAATGCTCTGTTTTCCTGTTAATTGCCTCTGCAGAAGAGCAAGCATGTTTTCAGACACTTGAAATTTACCTGCAGAGCCTTGAGATTTTTACTACAGAACGAGTCTCTAAGTGATACTGAGATCCAAGGGTATGATGCAAAGCAAATTATTATGGGGAAAGATAACAGAGGTGCCATTCATCCAACAAACATCTCCAAAGCCCTGGAAAAATACTGGGATAACTGGTCTTGAGAGATGAGGCTGCATCAATCCTCTTGTCAAGGAATTCCAAGGTTTGGGAGGGGCAACAGGGCAGGCTATGATCCTACAGAAATAGATAAAAATATCAAGATCACACCGGAGGTATAGGTAAAGGGCTAACCTATAATAAAAAATGGACCATTTTGATTTGATGTAGTGGGTCAGTAGTGACTTGATCACTTGACAGTATTTTAGTTGAGCCTTAAAGGATGGATATGAGGAGAATGTGGAAGAGTGATATTACAGCATACCACCAAAAGGGTGGGTGCCTTGCAGAAAGGGCCAGTACTGACAGGAAACCAGGAAGGCTAAAATAAAAGTCAGGAGTGTGCCTACCACAGAATGCTCAGAAATCACAGCTAAGTTAGTTAGTCCAACAACCACTCTTGAAGAGCCAAGACCGGGAACAAGTCACCCAATATATGCACAAGTAGCAACAAGCACCAGAATTCATTACATCTTCTGAGACAACAGCTGGCAGAAACAATTAAAGATATATTGGAGATACGCTATAGCACATCTTTTTAGCAGACTATACTCACCCATCAAATGTGATAATATACATTTATACTCACATAGAAATAAGTCTTCATTATAAGAAGCTGTGGGGAAATAGCTTAAGGAATGTCATATACAAAAGATTACCTACATATGTTGCAATAGAAATCCTACTCTACAAATCTATGTGTGCAAGAAACATATATTATTTATTCATATGAACATGGATCTTACTTCTGACCTGTCTCAGTCAATATTGAGTTTCGCTCACATTCATTGCACCAGAATCTCAGATGGTATCCTCCAAAATATGGTCTCTTCTCCAGTCCATTGTTATCTACTAGTCACCTCATTGCCCATTCCTCCATGTGCCTTGAAGTTCACCTGTGTCAAGCACATAACAAGAAAACCCAATATAGCTATTAACAAAATGGAAATGGCTCTCTCAAACAAAAGACAATAAAGATGAGAAATCAAGGGCTGATGGGGCAGTTCCTCAGAAGGGTTTCTATTCCCTCGCCCTCTCCCGACTACCCTGGAACATGGCTTTTACAATCAAGGCCCCCTCTTTTTCAAAAATGGTTTTAGGATCTTCACCATTACATCTTTATTTCAGAAGAGAATGATGAGAATCACAAAAAAAAAACATTCCTTGAAGTACCATATGAAATAATCATTTCTTTATCATTTAGTTGCAAAGGAGGTAGGGAACTGTCTTTACACCAGTGGTTTAGGTGTTCATCTAAAACTCAAGTTCTGTTACTAAGAACAAAGGAGAAATTGGATGTCAAGGTGAGCAAACAGTTCTCTTTCATTAAAGTCTGAGTTGAGAAGTCTGAGTTGAGAAGAGGAGGCTTACAACAGATTTTTGAGGGTCATCAATGACTGAGGGACAATCAAAAGACAAGCAACATCCAGAATTACCTCCCAAGGACTGCTAACATTCCATGAATATGAGTTCTGTGTGTGTGTGTGTGTGTGTGTGTGTGTGTGTGTGTGTGTGTGTGTGTGTGTGCGTGTACACATTTGTATGTGATGAATACTCAAAATGCTCTGCAAAGCAGCATCTTAGTCCATTTGTGTTGTTATAACAAAACACCATAGATTATATGGCTTAAACAGCAAGTATCTATTTCTTACAGTTCTGGAGCTGAGAAGTCCAAGACCAAAGTGCTAGAAGATCTGGTGTCTGCTGAGAGCTCTCTCTTGCTTTGCAGATGGCCATCTTGTTATATCTTCATTTGGCACTTCTCTGGTTTGTGCACGAGAAATGTCTTGTATCTTGGACTCTTTTTATAAAGACATTTGTGCATTATGAGGACCCTACTCTCAAGACCTAACCTAACTAAATTGCTTCTCAAAGGCTTAATTTCCAAATCTCTTCACATTGGGGATTAGGACTTTAACATGAATTTTGGAGAAACACAAACATTGCATCCACTGCAAGAAGATGTTATTATCATTTTGCAGGGTGAGAAATAAGTTACTCACCCAGGGGCAGAGGACATTTGGTCCCATGTCCATTGCACCTTCTGCAAACACAGTGCCTCCATAGCAACAATGTATTTTAGAAAATTTCTCGTTATATTTAGGAACAATTCCTTTCTTCTACATTCCAATTTTGTCTGTCATTCTCTTGGCCATGAAGAGTTGAAAATCTAATTAGTGAGCTAGTGACAATGAGGGTTTCTACAGAGCAGATCGTTATTTTCTTCCCAGTGGGAAGAAATTCAGAGGGACGTGGAGGTCAGAGGTTCTCCAGATTCTCTAGATACTTGAAGACATTTTGATCATATTATCTGGAAAATAATAATAATGGCTAATATATATTAGGCACTTATACTGTAAGCATTTAACTTGTACCAACTCATATAATCTCAACTCAAAATGGATTTTAAGGTAAATAGAATTGTTATTATTCCTATTTTATATTGAGAAATTATATTTTGAGGTATAGAAAGGTCAAGGTCAGTTTTTCAAAAACCAGTTAGTGAACACTGAATCTTGAACTTGATCCAAGCAGAATGATTCTACACACTGCACATTGACCATTCCCTTACAATAAATTGTTCTAATAGTGAGAGGGTGGTTTACTTAAAAGGGTATCATGTCTGAATCTATCGCACCTCTAAGAAATAACCCTGAAGGATCAATTTCTGGCCGTTCTTATCAGAACAAAAGTGAAGAATGAAAATCTGCTCACCTTCCCAATATAATCCTTAGGAAGACTCCCCAGGCACTCTGATATCTAAGCTCCCAATAATGTTTTAAAATGTAGGTGGCAGGGTCAGACGACCCAGCCACCCATGGCCCATTATCTGGTGCTGTTTTCAGCTTCCAGAAATAATTCCAACTGCAGGAAACAACAGCTGACCAATCCACTGAGATGCAAACAGGGGCATCTATGAGTACTCCATGGGGGAAAATAACCTGTGAACCATTCCGTCCAAGAAGAAACACTCCAGATGGAACAAAGGAGCTTGTCAGAACATCTTCATGTAGTTAGTGTCAATTCAAGAAGAGAGACTTCTGGGAGGATGGCAGTTGAGTAAGATGCTTGGGTGATCATTTCCCCACAGGACACCAATTTGGACAGCTGTTCATGCACCAGCTCACCTTCACAAGAGCTGTGTAAGCCAGGGAGACACTGAAATGCCTGGTTTTAGTATAACAATAGGAAAAGATGCAATGAAGAAGAAAGGAGGGAAAGAACTGCTATGTCACTGTCTCTCAGTTCCAAGTAGCACAGCGTGGGGATAGACATCCTGCCTTGAGAGAAGCAGAGAACAGAGAGCAAATTAAATTCAGATTTGGAATCAAGTCCCAGGCATGCCTCAAAACACACACACACACACACACACACACACACACACACACACACACACAAGCTAGTGCCTGCAGGTCCTGCCTGAGGCCCTGCAGACTGAGACCCTCCTGAGCCAGGCAATTAAGGTACTTACTTCACCATCCCTTCCCTAATGCTCTTGCAGACAGAGCCAGACTCTAGCTGCTGGAGCATAGGGCAGAAAGGGGAGCTCAGAATATTGTTCCAGAGCTCAGAATCTGGTGACAGGTGTGTCATCCAGCACTTGATAAAGCTAAAGGACTCTACCCCCGTGCCAGTGCTTACAGATGGATCCAGTGTTGCCCTAGCATCACAATTTTGCACCCCATGTGGGAGTGGTCCTGGTGTCATAAGCACTAACCTCATGTGGATACAACACACATTCTCAAGACTATGCAGAACAGGTGACTGTGAGACCAGTTGTGATCAAGCTCTGTGCACGCCTGGGCCTCCAAGCAGCTGCATTCATGACCTCTCACCTCACCTCATCTGTAGGAATACAGCAAGGAACCACAAGACAGTCTTGGAACACAACATAGGGAAGATACTAATAATCACCATACCCAGACAACTTACAGAGCCTGAAGATTTGTCTAAGTGCCAACAAATGATTCAATGTCCCAGGTAACTGGACTTTCAGTCCAGCCAACGTCATTGGGGTTCAGAGCAGCAGTCATAGGCTGTGAAGCCATGTTAGTAGCAGGTAGCTCAGAGCAGAGTGGTGTGGACTTTGATCATATCCCCAAGCTATACTAGTTGTGGTGGGCTGTGGGTACCAGGTACCATTCCGCAGTATGGTATTGTAGGTCATAGGACTGACTGACTGGGTCTTTTCTATCCCCCCAGGAGGCTCTTGTAAGGATGGATGTCTCCCTGGTTCTGAGCAGCACAGGAATTGTGGATTTGGAATAAATCCGTGCTCAGGGACTCACTGAGGCAAGGACACCTGAGGCAAATCTGAATTTAATGTGTCACCTACTGCCAAAGCTCCAGAAATATTCACAGCCTCAGAGGAAATATGTGCACTGCTTAGACTATCTGAAACAATAAGCCACAAGTGAAGTGAAATTACAAACACTGGAAAAAGAATAACTAATCCTGCAGTCTGCAGATGTTATATGCCAACAAGCAGTAAGTACTCTTAGGGAACGATGTGTCTCACCTACCACACATCCATTTGTGATGCTGGCATCCCATATTAGGGTTTCAATTAGAGTCCTAGTTACTCTGCTTTGTTCCAGCCAACTGTAGAATGGGCACTGTGGCACAGCAGGTGAAGTTACTGCTTCAGACATCAACATACCTTATTGGGTTGCCAAAAATTGAGGGTTATCTGACCCAGCAATTGCAACGACCAGCATGTGCATAAGCTGATTATGGTAACAGACTGTGCCGGACCCTGTACTGGCAAGCACACACAAGAATCAGGTCTGGGATCACCTCAGATGAAGTTTCTTTGGAGATCCCTCCAACTGAACTGTTGGCCTCAGAACCCCAACCATGATGAGATCATATCAGCCAGTGGATTCTGTAGAGATTTCATTGTGATTGGAACAGCGAGACTGGCAGCAATTCAGAACTGTTGAACTGTCAAAACTGCTTGAGCGGGACCCTCAGAGCATGTCCCACATCGGGGACCTGGGATGGGTGGGAGGCTGAGTTGGGCTTCTCCCTTTGTTTCTGATATTAGTGTGGAAACAATGGCCTTACTCACTTTCTTGTATCCTTTGACCCTTTGTATCATAATCAACTAAGTAAGATTATAAAAAATAGATAAATAAATAAATTTTTTTAAAAAATTACATGGCAACTAAATTGACAACATAAAGAAATGAAGTCTTTGATACACACACCTTAAATCACGAACAGAATACCTAAATGGAACAATGAATAATGAAATTAAATCAATGATAAAACTACACATCAAGGAAAGGTTTAGGAACAGATGGCTTCATTGCTTATTTCAAGCAAAGGTTTAAGGAGGAATTAGCAATTTTTCTCAAATTAGTACTCCCCCGCACCCAAAGAGAAGAAGAAGAAGAAGAGATGAGAATACTTCTATACTCATTTTAAGATGCCAACACTACATTGATACCAACGTCACACAGGGACACAACCAAACCAAACAAACAAACAAACAAAAGCTAAAAGTCAATATCCTTAATGAACGTAGATGCAAAAATCCTCACTAAAATACTGAGAAACAAAATCCAAAATCCATCAGCATATTAAAAAGATGCACTGCAATGGATGCTTAGCCTAGCAGTTAGAATGCTGTGTCTCACACTGGCGCACTTGGATTCAGTTCCCAATTCTGGATTCTGACTCAGCTTCCTGCTAACAGACCCTCAAGGCTGTGGTGATGGCTCAAATAACTGAGTTCTATCCCAAATGGAGTTCCTGGTTCCTGGCTTTGTCCTAGCCAAACTCTGTTTTAGCTCTCTCTCACCCTCTCCAGCTTCTTTCTTCTCTCTGACACTCTGCTTTTTCAACCAAATTTAAAAATTGATAACATGTGAACAAAGAAAAATGCAAACTATCGTATCAGTAGGTGCAGAAAAGACATTTAATAAAATACAAATCCCTCCATGATTTAAACTAAATAAATTAAGTATAAAAGGTGCATGGCTCAACAAACTAATAGAAGGCATGTAAAACAAGCCAGTAGCTTACACATTACTAAATGGGGGAAAGTTGACAGTTGTTCAGAGCTTGAGAAGTGTGTGTGGGGTTGGCAAGGAAAAAAAGACACAGACACGGTCACTTGGTGCCCTTCTTGTAACAGCTCAAGAAGCTGTCCTTTCTGTTTACTCAGACACAATACAAGCCTCTGCACAAACATTTGATTGTTCTATTTTTAACTTCATGACTAAGCAGGCATGCACAGATGTTTGATTTTTATTTTTTACTTCATGGTTAAGCAGGTGCTCTTAAAGATAATTCTGTAATATACTATAGTCATTTTTTTTCTTCAAAGCAAGCCATTATTCATTCTTCAGCAGTAGCCACTGGTGACAGCCAGGACTCCAAAGCCAAGGCACATTGGTTAACTGCTAATCAGTAATGCCTTCCTACTACATTTCTATTTCTACAACTTATCTATCACTTAACGAGAGAAATGTGCCACAAGGGAAAAAACGTTTAGATCCAAGACAAAAGTTTCAAACAGTAAATCCCCCTCCAACCACAGGCTCTACAACCCCTTAAACAAACAGCAATTAAATATATATTTCTATAATATTAACACATACATCCTTTAACTCCTCTACCCAAAGGATCAAAAAGCGGCTGAAACAGATACATGTTCTATATATGCATTTTCTATACATTTCTGTACATTTCTATAAATCTATAGAAAATGCACTTTATGTTCATATGCATTTCCTATATTTATATTTATATACAAAGTATAAATACAAATATATTTTATATGTGCATACAAGTATATTTATATACAATATATAAATGCATATGTATTTAGATAAATACATATAACAGGGATGTAATAATTACAATAGTGTGGATTCTTAAAAAAATAATAATACCTAATTGCTTTATTCTGATTCTAGGAGATTAGCAAGCCCTGCATGGTCTATGTGGTAATACATAATGAGCTAACATATTTGCTCAACCAAACCATCTCTATTGAGAACCACTGCGGGTGGTTGAGACTTACAATGGATCACGGGTTCATGGATGAAAGAGATCATATGTATCTCTCATTTTTCTTTGACACCTTTCATCATCTGTCCTCCGAGCAGGAGGGTCAGGGCCCCAGTTGAGGTTGCTGATACACATGCACTGAAATAAAGACTCTCAGACTTCTTCCTCTCTTTGGCTACCAGAAGGCTGACAGCAGGCACATATAGAAATATAGATACACACACCCAGTACAGGAAGGTCTTCCTTGTGAAGTACGGCGACAGAGCAGAGCTAACCACACTGGTAAGTGC